CACAGTGCTTAATGCAGGGGCTCTCCTGGGGCGGCGTGAGCTGTGAGAACCTCAGTAGAATAGAGTCGATATGACGCACGTAGACGTTCATAAGGCGTTTGGCTTAAGTGCTGATTCAGAAGTGAGACCCGCACGGCATTGATAAAGCTCACTTGAAATGGATTAAGAAGTGGCTAACGGCTAGGTCTCAAAAAGTAGCCCTCCCTGGAACAATATTAGCCCTTTTCACCACTGCATCACATTGCTGACTCATGTTCAATTTGAGATCCGCTCTAGCCCCAGATCCTTTCCAGCAGTACGACCACCTGGCCAGTTATTCCCCATTGTGTAGTTCTGGGTTTGATTTTTCCTTTCTAAGTGAAGTACTTTGCTCTTGTCTTTACTGAATTTCATCCGGTGGATTTCAGACCAGTTCTCCAATCCAGGTCCTTTTTGAATTCTAATCCTGCCCTCCAAAGTGCTTGCAACCCCTCCCAGCTTGCTGTCAGCCGCAGTGTTACAAGCGTACGCTCTGCTCCGTTAGCCGAGTCATAAGGAAGTGGACAAGCAACTGAACAAGAGCTCCCAGTGTGATGCTGTGGCGAAACGGGCGAATGGATGGTGCCTCGTCCTGGCCACTCTGGGGATTACCTCTGCCAGGCCGATGCCCCTTCCTGCGGTTGCCCTCCGTCTCTTTGTCTGTCTGCAGCCCCTTTCTCATGACTCCACCCTGCAGCCAGGTCACTCAGCGGTTCCCCTTCCGGGGTGGTCTTTCAGGGTCTCTCTCCACATGCAGCGTCAGGCCACCTCACGCCCGCTGCCCTCACTGTGTCACTCCAGCAACGACTCTGGCAGCCTTCGTATCCACTCCCCTTAAAACACCACCCTACCGTGGATGGGAGGGGAACTCAGGCCCACCCTCCACTCTGGGTTCCAGTCCAGGGCCCTGTGGTGAACATTTCAGCTCTGCATCTCCACCATCTTCCTGCTCTCATCCCTGGACTCCTTCCTACCAGGCTCCTGCTCCCTTATCTCAGGGAGGGGCACTGCAGACTTCCTCCCGCAGCTTCCCGCACTATTTCCAACCTCCTGGCTTTAGAGAAGCCCCACCTGTTACATAAGAACGGCCAGACTGGGTCAGACCAAAGGTCCATCTAGCCCAGTATCCTGTCTTCCAACAGTGGCCAATGCCAGGTGCCCCAGAGGGAATGAACAGAACAGGTCATCATCAAGTGATCCACCCCTGTCGCCCATTCCCAGCTTGTGTTCCCTACAGGCGAGCATCCGTGTAATGAGCTCCCTCCACACAGCCTAAATCTCCCCCGTCTGCAGCCTAATTGGCTGATTGGGCCCACGTGGTCTAATTTGGCTCTTGGAGGGCTGGTCTGGGAAGTACACCCTGTCACAGAGGTGAAAACGGGAGGAGTAGGGCAGTTTTCTCTCTTTCTGGCATTGTTGCGACTGTTCCTAGTGTCCACACGTCAAACAGGATACTGAAAAACTGGAGAGGGCGCGGAAGAGAGACACCAAAATGAGTGGAAGGAAAAGGAACCAGGATGGGGACATGACAAGTGGCCGCCCGTGGCTGACGGAGGAAGCTTTGGGTTGGTGAGGGGCACGTCCCAGCTTCTTCAGAACCGGCTGATGGCCATGGGGACGTGACACTCGCAGTGCGCAAGACTTATTTCAGCAGTACCGGCTGTCAAAACCCAGCTGTTTCTTTATCTAATGAGTACGTCAGTCATTGGTCATTTCCACTGTTACCGCATTAATCTAAAATCAACGTCATTTTACATTGATCTCTTTTAAAATAATGAGGAGTCCTTGTGGCACCTCAGAGACTAACGCATTTATTTGGGCATAAGCTTTCATGGGCTAGAACCCACTTCATCAGATAGCCCACGAAAGCTTATGCCCAGATAAATGTGTTAGTCTCTAAGGTGCCACAAGGACTCCTCGTTTTTTCTGATACAGACTAACACGGCTACCCACTCTGAAACCTTTTAAAATAATGTTGACCTTTGAGTAGGGATCTGAGAACCACGAATAAGGGGCTGATCCCATGAATAAGGAACTGGAAACAAGGAACCATCTTCAGTCTCTTGGCCCAGGGCTGTGGAGCAGGAAGGTTGGCGTTCTGGAAAGGGGCCAGGGTGGCACGGGTGTGGTTAAGGAGAGTGGGTAGCACAAGCAAAGAGACTTTTCCCCGCATGCAAGGGAATCCTAGGAGAACAGGTTTCTTCCTGGATGCAGCAGTGTCATGAATGTGCATGTCTGACCAGCCTCCCGATGGCTGGGTGATGACACTTGCTATCCCCCGCCAATGTGCCTCACCCCAGACTTAGCAGTCCGTCTAGGGCCAAAGGGTAATGCGCTGGCCCAGTCAGTGCTTCACATGAGTTGTTAGCAGTATAGGGCATATGACACACAGCAGAACAGTTCTGATTCTATCCTGTAGAGAGCACTGGTGACACACACACATATATCAGGTCATAATGCCATGGGTCACCCCATCGCAAAAAGGATATAGCTGAAAAAAGTTCAGAGAAGGGCAACAAAGATGATGAAGGGTTCAGAACAGCTTCCATACAAGATTTGGGTTGTTCACTGTAGAGAAGATATGCTGGGGGAATCTGCTAGAGGTCTATAAAATCATGACTGGTGCGGAGAAAGTGAATGGGGAAGAGTTATTTATCCTTCCGCACAATACAAAAGCCAGAGGTCACCCAATGAAATTAACAGGCAGCAGCTTTAGTATAAACAAGAGGAAATACTTCTTCACACGATGCACAATTAACCTGTGGAACTCATTGCCAGGGGATGCTGTGAAGGCCAAAACTATAGTGGTTCAAAAACTCATCAGAGAAGTTGATGGAGGATAGGTCCATCCATAGCTATTGGCCAGGATGGTCAGGGACGCAACCCCATGCTCTGGGTGTCCCTAAACCGCTGACTGCCAGGAGCCGGGTGTGGACGACAGGGGTGGATCAATCCATGATTGCCCTGTTCTGGACACTCTGCCTGATCCTGTGGGACGGGGCCACTGTCAGAGACAGGATCCTCGGCCAGATGGTCTGACGCAGTCTATACGCAGCCCCCATCCTCTCGCCCTGCAGGGGGAAAGCTGCTTAACCAGCGTGAATCCATTCTCCTGAGCGTTCTTCCTCTGACAGATGGACAAGAGGGGCAAATCCTTCCAGCCTCCCCCGCTCCTGCCCCGTCCGCCTGCGGGCTCAGATTTGGGGGGGGAGAGCAGCGCGGTTCAGAGCCCCGTCCGCGCCAGGCTGAGCTGTGAGCGGCTGCCTCTGGCTGGCCAGCTGCGGCACCAGTCCAGCTCTGCCCCTTACCTGCGGCAGCTTCCCTGGCGCGTCGTTCCCGGTGAAATAAACGCGGCTGCCCGGTGTCAGACCCAGTGCATTTCCCCTTCTGTTTTGGGGAGCCTGGAGGGGTGGGAGGGGCTGAGCAGTGAAGCCGAAGTACTTACCTTTAAAAGGCACCCTTGTTCCAGTGCTTTGGCAGCCCCCTTGGCCTGCCTCTAGCCCCTTGCAGTGCGGGATCTCACAGCACTTCACGGGCATCAATTTCCTTTATTCATTTGTGGGCGGCAGTGCGGCCTAGTGGGTACAGGGCTGGGCGTCAGGAGACCTGGGCTCTTCCCCTAGCTCTGCCGCCGACCTGCTGGGTGATGCCGAGTAAGTCCTGTCCCCTCTCAGTGACTCAGTTTCCCTCTTGTCCTTTGACTTATCTCTGTAGACCAGGAGCTGTTTGGAACAGGGACTCTCACTGTGTGTGTGTGTATGTACAGTGCCTAGCACAATGGGCCTCTGATGTCAGATGGTGCTTTTAGGTGTTAGGGCATACAAACAGTCGCACACTGTGGCCATTCAAAATGTCCTGGAAGCAGTAAGGATAGAACCCGGATCTTCCTGCTCCAAAAGGGCAGTTGCCTGGCACCCAAGCCAAGAGAGGCTCTCCTTTAGTTGCTGGCATTATAGGGCTGATGACACACGGCTGAGCAATTGCAACAGCTGGCAGAGCGCAGTGCTAGACATACACATTCGCCAGTTGGCTCCAATGTCGCTTTTTAAGGTTGCTGCGCGGTTTCAATTGTAACCTCCTTGTCCTGCTCTTTGCTCACTGAAAAACACCGCCGGCAGCATGTCAGTGATAGTTGCATTCAGGGCGTTAAGCTGCTTTTTGAATTGCACAAGGGTGAAAAAATTCCCCTGGTGTCTTTCCCCCTCCAGCCACTCGGGGTTTGTGTTGGCAGTAGGGGACCAGAGCTCTGCGAGGGGGCAGGGCGCTCGGGGGCTGCAGCTGGCTTCCTGTTGCGTGGCTTGGCGGGACTTGCGCTGCTTGGTTCAGTCCCCGTGGCAGACCCATTGGAAGCTGGCGTGCTTTTGCACCGGAAAGATGGTCCTATAGCTACAGTGTGGGGGTGGGAGCAGGACTCCTGGCTTCTATCCAATTTGGTTCATGGACCTGGGCGAGTCCCGTCTGGGCCTCGTTTTCCCACAGTTAATTCGTTAACGTTCCTAAGTGGCTTTGAGATCCGTGGGTGGAAAGGCGGAGCACCGCTGTTCCTGAGCGCAACGGGAAGTATTGCAGTAGCTTCCAGTGGCTGTAACCGAGGTTGGGGCCCCAGTGCGCCAGGCGCTGTACGGACACACAGCGAGAGACTGCCCCCATCTTGGGTAGCTTCGAGCCCCTGTAAACAAGGGCTGGACAGAGGAAGTCTGATCCCCATGTCCAAGATGGGGAAGAGAGGCAGAGAGAGATTAAGGTGCAAAGGTATTTAGGTGCCTAGCTCCTATGGGAGTTAGGCACCTAAATACCTTTGAGGATCAGGGGCTAAGGGGCTGGCCAGGGTCGCACAGGGAGTCAGTGACAGAGCAGGGAATTGGGCCCTGATCACCTGAGTCCCAGCCTAGTGCATTAACCACAAGCCCATCCTTCTGCTCTGCGCCTCTCGGGGCTCTGTGACTGTCTCGCTAACCCCTCTTCCTTCCGGCTTGCCGCAGGTTCCAGAAGCACGTCCACACCTACCGGATCCTGCCAGATGAGGATGACTTCCTAGCGGTGCAGGTAGGGACCGCTCGCTGCTGTGTGCCGAGACTAGTGCAGCTCCTGCCGGGAGCCCAGCCCTGTCCTCGCTGCTGGGCCCAGATCTTGAAACCAAGCAACGGGGCAGGGTCCTGGGGACGGGGGGTTGCCCCGCTCTCCCTGTCCTCGCAGGCGTATGCTGTAAGCTGTACGGTGTCGATGATCACTTGTTGCTGCTACGAAGGATAAAAGCCCTACTAGTGGTGCTGGCTGAGAGTCTCCTTTAGCTCAAGCCATAGAGGCCTCCACTTCTGAAGCTCAAGGGTCCGAGTTCAGTGCCCGCTGTGCCGTGCGGTGGCCGTTGGGGGCTGGCTACCGAGATGGGGGCTTAGCTCGGGTACTGTCCCTAAGGGCTGGGTCCTGCCGTCCTTGGCTGAGGGGACAGAGGAGGGACTGAGATGTGTAGTGGCTCTGAGGAGGCCGGGTCCTCGCCAGTGAAAGTCCTGGGGCCACCAATTCGGTGGTGTCTGGCAGCTGAGACCTCACACAATGGAGGTGGGCATTGCAGGGTCCATGAGGCTCCTCTGAAGAGCGGGTTTGTGCCCTGCTCCCCAGAGGTGGCTGCATTTCTGGGTAGCTCTTGTGCAGCGCAGTGGGCGACGGGCTCTCTCCGGGCCATGGGTGTGGTTAGCAGTTCTGCTCACCAGGCTCCGAGCCAGGCCGCCCCCGCTAACGGCCTGCTGGGGCCTTGGCCTCTTGCCCTCCGCAGCATGTGCAGCACTCACGGTGCCGGCTGTGCTTCCTCGGACATCACAGCTGTGATCACAACAGTGTGTGGCTGTGCGGAGACCGACACTCCCCACACATGGCCACAAGGGAGTGTCCTGCCATGCCAGCCTCCCTATACCCACTGGGCACTGCCGTGCCAGCCCCAGCCCCCCATATCCACCGGGCACTGCCGTGCCAGCCCCAGCCCCCCATACCCACCGGGCACTGCCGTGCCAGCCCCAGCCCCCCATATCCACCGGGCACTGCCGTGCCAGCCCCAGCCCCTCTGCCACCGCCGTGCTAGTCACAGCCCCTCCCCCACCAGTGATAGTGACCACAGTGCAGTTAAATTTAACATCAGTGTCGGGGGAAGATACCAAAGAAGCAGCAGCGTTTCCCCCCAGAAAGGGGAACTACACCGAAACGAGGAAGCTAGTTAGCTGGAAATTCAAAGGAACGGTCACAAGAGTGAAATGCCTGCAAGCTGAATGGAAATTGGGTAAAAACACCACAATGGAGGCTCAAACTAAATGTATCCCCCAACTATAGAAAAAGCCCCAGTAGCCAAAAAAGTGCCACGCTGGTTAAACAACCGAGTAAAAGAGGCAGTTCGAGGCAGAAAGGCATCGGAAGTCCAATCCTTGTGGAGAAAAGAGAAAGGAGCATAAACTCTGGCTAGTCAAATGTAAGGCAGGCCAGGCAGAATTTGAAGAGCAACTAGCTAAAAACACAAAAAGTGACAGGAAAATGTAAAAAAAAAAAAAACACATCAGAAGTAGGAAGCTGCCACTGGACGATCGAGGTGCTAAAGGAGCAGACGAGGAAGACACGGCTGTTGTGGAGAACTGAATGAATTCTTTGCATCTGTTTTCATTGCAGAGGAGGTGAGGAGATTCCCAACCTGAGTCATTCTTTTTAGGTGACAAATTTGAGGAACGGTCCCACATTGAGGTGTCAGTAGAGGAGGTTTTGGAACAAATGTATCAATTAAACAGTAATAAGTCACCAGGACCAGATGGTATCACCCAAGAGTTCTGAAGGAACTCAAATGTGAAACTACAGAACTACTAAGTGTAATAATCAGCCTCTATACCAGATGATGGGAGGGTAGCTAATGTGATGCCAGTAAGCCCAACTTCATAGAATCGTAGGACTGGAAGGGACCTCGAGAGGTCATCGAGTCCAGTCCCCTGCACTCATGGCAGGACTACGTATTGTCTAGACCATCCCTGACAGGTGTTTGTCTAACCTGCTCTTAAAAATCTCCAATGATGGAGATTCCACAACCTCCCTGGGCAATTTATTCCAGTG